GCTCCCAGCCCAGCTAGAAAGAGCGACCCGGGGACACCCAGCCAGCAGCACACTCCCAGCCCAGCTAGAAAGAGAGGCCCGGGGGCGATCGCCGATATCACCGAGTCTACCCAGCCAGCGATACGTTCCCAGCCTAGCTAGAAAGAACGACCCCGGGGGTGATGGTATCTCCAATAGGATTCAATCCAACAACAACCACCGTGGAACGCCGTCCACTCTAAGATATCACATAAAAGGCTCCAAGCCTATACTATCTCAATCCCACGCCTCGAGTGATGCACCAAACCTTTGAGAATGCGTCGGAACCGTAGAATAAGAGGGAGAAGATACAGAAGTGCAGCAAGTAGCGATAACGCCTAATCTAAGGCTCAAACTATCAGACTCAAGTCTGCTATTCCAGTCTACAAGGAGCTAAGTCATCCGAACGACGTCGGCAGAAAGTCAAGGTTATCCAGCCCACACGGGTCATAAGTCTAAGGCAATGCTAGCCTAACCTAGACTAAGGACATCATGCTTACGGTTAAGGATGAACAAGGCAGGCAATACATAACATACAAGCATACAATAACATTTAGCACATAAGTATGCAACTTTACTAAACCGGTTAACATGATACTATACTCGAAATGTGGTCAATCGATCCTAACATAAGGCATCTAATCAACATGTTTTTACACAATTAAGCTCAATCTTAAAGAAAGGAAGCCGTAGCCTACCTTAAGGCCGATCGCGCTCTCTCCAAATCACTTTACCGGAGCTTTCCCTTCCGAACAGTCTCAAAACGCTGCCCCGCTATCAAAAATAGAGTCACAACATTACTACGGTCATTTAGAAACCAAACTCACAACAAACGGAGATGGGTCAATTTTGAAGTCAAAACGGGAATCGTGGGACCCGCACCGAACTGTCCGAATTTGACTCCGTCAAGTGACCCCAAACAGCACTCCAAACTTGTGTTCCAAAATGGAACACAATCCGAGGCTCAACACATAGCAAAAATCAACAAGCAAGAAACCACACTTTAATAACTAAAAGAAACCCTATAGCAGCAGTCAAAACTCAGAATAAACGAGAATCGAAAGGTTCCCAGCACTCCCTGAAAACTCTACAATGAAGTCACGACAATTCTCAATATGTGAGACTTCGAATCACCAAAAACCGAGCTAAAATGAGTGAGATATGACCAAAACAATAATACCAAAAACAAATGCTCGAAAAAGGCACTGCAGTCAGGTTTTATCGCGAAAATACCTCAAACGGGAACCCCAAACCACTATCCGAGCTCACCAACGCGTTGCCCTCGAAAAATATCACAATTTTTCCTTTTGAATCGCCCAAATCGGTTGAGAGATGAAAGAGTTATGAGGGTTTGAAATTTTAGAAAATATGTTGCTGTTTTTTTGCATTTATAGCAGAAAATCTGCAATTTCCCAAAAACTAGAAACTCCGACGGGGTGC